AGCCTAAGCAAAAAAACCTAAACCCTAAAAGCCTAAACCCTAAAAGCCTAAACCCTAAAAGCCTAAACCCTAAACCCTAAACCCCAAAGCCCTAAACCATTCCAAGCCCTGGGTTGAGCTCTTGGACTCTGGGCCTCCCAGTAGCTGGATCCGCCTCCTTCTCGGCAGCTCCTCCAGCAATCCGGCAAGTGCGGAGGGCTAAGGGCTTAAGCTAGTTTAAGCTCAACCCTAAGCCGTAACCTTAAACTGTTTAGGGGGTCTGCGGGTTTCGGGTTCAGGGGGGTTTGGGGTTCGGGGTTAAAGTTTTAGGGGGACAGCTTCATAAGGACGGTGACTGCTGTAGGAGGGCTTTACAAGGGCATTTAAAAAGGGCCTTATCACGGTTTTGAATTTTAAGGGGTTTTGTCTGCTAACGGATGGACACGACCACTTTGAAAGTTTCAGGGCATGTGCTCCCCATCCAGTGGATGATCGCCCTCGCCTTCCTCCGGTCCAAAGCGATGGCTGCGTCGCACTGCCGGTGCTCGTTGTATGCGTTCAGCGCTTCGCCGAATTTCTCCGGCCCCACTTGTCCAAGGAACTGTGCCCTGCGTGGCTGAAAGACGGGAGAGCAACAAAACGGCGAAGCTTGTGTTCGGTTGCACTCGTGAATCCTGGTCTGCTTGATGATCTTGCTGTAAAGTGCGACAGGGTGATGCAGCCATGCTTGCAAGAGGCAGGAGCAAGAGTGCTGCATAGCTGCCTAGCTTCACACCTGCAACCCGAAAGGACTGCCAGATCTGCGACCTGCTCAGCGTGGAGCTACGACTGGATTCAGGCGCAGGGCATGTGTCGCTTTTGCGGCTCCACAGCCAGAAACTTAAACAAGTCAAACAAGGTTTCGGTACGACGAGGTATGTGATAAACCACACACAGGCACAGACAGACAGACAGACAGACAGACAGACTGACTGACTGACTGACTGACTGACTGATTGACTGGAAGACTGGAAGGCTGGCAGGCTGACACAAGCAGGACTGATAGACTGACAGACTGGCTGGCTGGCG